ATGCAGGACTGCAGGTGGGGTCTCACCAGAGCAGAGCAGAGGGGCAGAATCACCTCCATTGACCTGCTGGCCATGCTCCTTTGGGTGCAGCCTAAAGTACGATTTGCCTTGTGGGCTGCAAGTGCACGTAGTCAAAGAGAGAAGTTTGAGATGTTGATGGAGATGTGTTGAGGAGTCAGAAAGAGATGTCCAACAGAGCCAGGGGATGGTGGCGCTGGGTGGGATGAAAGGTGCTTGGTTTTCTAGGCTGCAGTGAAGACAGAATGAAGCTGGGCTTGTTTGTAGAAGACAACAGAAGAAGGTGAATGGAAGTGGAAAACCATCTTGAGCTGGGGCAGTAGAGAGCTACCCCAGGAGACAGCCATGCAGTGGCCTCTCTTTCAGCATGCTGAGTTTTTGTGCGTAATTTCAAGCCCTTTGCACATCACAGTTTGGAAAAGTTTGGCACTTGTTTTATTGAAGTTACTGCTTCAGTTTGCAAAAATAAGATAATAAAAAACCACACACAAAGAAAAAAAATCAACCACAAACCCCCCAAACTAAAAACAACACAAAATCCCCACTTGCTTCAACTATCTGCTTGGATTAATGATTGCTGCTCCTTTCATTGCTCTGAATGGGTTAAATTGTATATGAAAATGGTTTAGCAGTGAGCTTTAATCAGTCTATTACATCAGAAATTCTTCTTGGATCTTTAAAGAAGTTTCTTTGATTGGAGGTTCATTAGTTGCTTTTGTCTGGCTCGTTTTGTGCCTAAATTAATGTATTAAATATAGTTTGCCTGCTAAAGGGAAATCTTAATTTACAAACACTGGCAAGCACAGCACAGCTCTTGTCTGTGTCATGGTTTCAATGGCATGGCTTTTGAGAAATCACAGAATAGTTAGGGTTGTGAGAACTGCAACTTGCAAAGATTTGGTGACTATCTGAATTAGGACCTTCTACCACTGCAGTGCTTTGAGATTCCCCAACCTCAGGAGAGGCCACTACAAAAGCTGAAATTGGGATTTTGATTGAACTTCAAGTATTGCTTCAGTGACAGGTATTTTTTTTTCCCCTCATTTAGCCATAAATAAATCTGTAGGCAGGGGTTTAATGCAACTTTTCACTCCAGTGCAACACGAAACTACTCAAGAATGAAACGAGGCGATTATAAAGGGTTATTTCTAACAACCTGTTGATGATCTGAGTTGCTTGTGTTGACTTCCCCATGCTTGAGCTCCAAATGGTGACAGTACCGTGGAGCAGGGTGTGTTTCCTTCTTTATGCCCTCTTCCACTTGCCCACTATGGATTTAACCAGGTAGTGTTCTGCTTGGGAACATTGGCTTATTAGTTTGAGTATCATACCTGAATCCTCTGAACTAACATAGATGTGAATGAAACACACTTGCATACCCAAGACCTCATGAAGGTATCCAAGCCTGTGGGTTATGTCTGTGCTGATGCAAAGCCTCCAGGAGACCAGGACCTGCCTGGGCACAGTTGGAGCAGAAATCAGATGTTTGTGGTTTCTGCAGCCTTTGTGGAACTTGGGGAATTCTGCAGCCTTTTCTGCAGGGTCCATCCTGAGCGGACCATGCTACTTTGTTACAAAACACAAGGAGTTCCTCAGTTTTGCTCTGAGGTTACTCCTCAGTCCTTGTACTCTGGAAGTCTGATGTTAAGCATGTAGAAGAAAGTAGGCAAAAAGAAGCATTGTAGAGGAATCAGCCTTGTCAAGTATTCACTGTGCGAGCAGGCAGATCACTATGTCTGGTTCTCCTTTTGAAGCCGATTCTCTCATTGAAGTGGAGCAGCATAAAGGTGTGCATTAGTAACATTTGAAAGCAACATCTGACCTGCTCCTACGTGTGCGGATATCCTTTAAAATTTCTACTTAGGGTTAACTTCCTGTTTTCTGAGTTATTTAAGCCAGAAGTTCAGTAACTGATGCTAAGGATGGTACTTCATTCCATTAAAAGAAAACCGAAGTTGTTGAACTGTTAAATCTGACAAGGTCTTCAGTGGCCTGCAGATCCTTTTAGTTTGCCAAGAAAATGCAAAGCAAGCATTGAGGCAAGGCTTATCTGCATGCAGCAAGCGGCTCTGCTGAAGTCAATAACACAAAGTGATTATTTTTGCAATGCAACAGTGTCAAGTTTTTCAGATATGAAATACTTGCTTCACTCTTGCTCATCTGTTCCGTCCTATTTCCCTTTCTTAATATCCTAGATTTAAATCCAGGCTAGCCTCAAACTCATTACAAAAAGTGTTGCCCTCTTTTAGCATTATTTGTTATAGAGCCATGCAGGAGTGTAAAATGAATCCAGCAAATCATAAAACATGAATAGGTGGAAACGTCAGAAACAATATTAAGAATTTCACACATAAGTTATCAATAACGATAATCCTTTTATGCTTTTTCGTGTCTCAAACGACTGAAAATGTACAGCACTGAAAGCTCATAGCCTTACATAGGTTTCTGTTGGGGTTTTTTTGTGGTGGTGTTTTGGAGTGTTTTTTTGGGGGAGGAGGTGGTGTGTGCAAAGCCAGCCTCAATGAATTAAGTGTCCCAAAGTCATAAAACCAGGGTTTAGCAAATACCAATTTAGGAGGGATTTAGGTAAGCTTCAAAAGTGGGTATTTAAGGAATAGGAAAATAACCTACATTTCTAGTTAGAGTTGTAACACTTGCGTATGGCTTGGTGCTGCCTGTATTGGAGCAGAAGCTGTTTTTTCTGGAGAGACAATCCCCAAGTGTCCTGGTGAGAAGGCTCTGGGTGACTGGGGCTTCAGCACCGTTCGATGTAAAGAGAATGTGAGCTCTTCATAGCTTCAGAATCAATGTGACTGGGTTGCTCTTCTGCTTGTTTCCTTCTAGCTCTGCTGATAAGTGGTTGAAGAATTGTGAACAGTTTGCAGCCCTGTGAATGCTGTTTTGGCATTCAGGCAGGACTTAGAAATGGACAGATCATAGTGTGCTAGTGTGAGCTCCTCATATCTCTTTAGGATGTTTTTTAATGCTCGGTATTGTAATTCTGCATCATATTCTCAAATTCAAGTCTGCTGTCATGTGGTGTAGATGAAAGATGACCCTTTAAAAGTTAATTTATTCCTGTGGAATTTATTCAAGCGGAAGAAAGCAAATTATCATGCTTTAATGCCCCATTATCAAAGGTTGTGGGAAACACTCAGTGGGTTAAAATCAGACACAAGAAATTTTTAACACCCCCAAGACATTCCCCTCTGCTTCCCTGGAGGACAGTACAGCCTTTGAAAGCAGCAGTGGAAGGGGCAGAGCATCTGCTGGGGCAGAGTGGCTGACTGGAGACAGAGGCAGTCTGAGCCATCCCTGCACACCCTGCATCCGTCAGTCCTTGAGCAGCATCCATGCCAGGGCAACATCCATGGGGAACCAGAGCAGACCCCGGGAGCAGTGACGCCATAGCAGCCTGTGCTGTGTTACGCATCCTCACACAGAGGATGAGGAGTACAGGAGAGTGAAGTAAAAGCTGAGACCTTCATGCCTGTTCCTGCTCTTTAGGCTTTCCACACCACTGAAATCCTCCATTAATCACTGACTTTGGCTTACTTTTCCCCTAGCACCACGACACTATACAAATAGTTTATTCCCAGAATTGCTTAATACAGGTTTCCTTAATGCCACGTTTTGCTGACCTCTACTATGCCCAGTTTCTGTGACCATAGTTTTAATTGAACAAGCACAGAACTTAAACTTTTGCTTTCATCTCTTACTTGAAATAGTCTAACCAGGCCAGGTCAGATGGAGCTTTGAGCTACTTGGTCTAGCGGAAAGTGTTTGGGGCTTGGAAGTGGATGAGCTTTAAGGTCCCTTCCAACCCAAACCATCCTATGATTCTATATCATGTCTTTTTCATTAAACTGTAATTGGATAGTGTCCTTAAGGCATATGGATTTCTGTGGTCCACCACTCTTAAGTAGAGAGCCCTGAACAGGAAACAAGCTGAAACATGCTTGTTTATTGAAGTTCTTTGCTGTGGCTAGGAAGGTTTTTACTTTGAAGCTTTGTCTTCATTGTAAAAGGTACATTTTAGCATTTTAGCCATGAAACAATTACGTGTAGTGTTATCCCACTAATGGAAATCAGGCAGTGTGGATTTCGTGAGCAGGCAATCAAATGCTAGCAGGCTGTAAGGGCAGGAGGTGTAGTGCTGATCTTACTTGTCTGGTTGGTGGGAGTGCCAGTGCACAGGCTTTAGTGGGATTTTGGAGTAGATTAGCTTGGTTATGTTGCTACTAAAGAAAATAATCTTTCCTCTAGGTAGAAAAACCTAGCATCAGAGTGATCCTTTTAGATCTCTTTCTGTAATATTCTGATCTTATGCATTTTCTTAGCCTTTGAAGGTTGTAAATGGAGGATGTGGAACCCCTAAATAAGCTGTGTTTGATGACACAATTTGGAGGCAGCTTCCCCTGAAGCTTCCTTGTTTGCAGGAGTTGCAAACCTTCTTTATTCAGCTGTGTTTAAATAGATACTTGAATGCAGTAAAATTAGAGGCATATGCTCATGTAAGAACAGTATTTCTCCATACTCAGACTATGCCTGAATCTCTTTCCTCTGATATTTTGACACAGTTTCAAGTACTTGTCTGACACCATCTTAATTACGAATTTTAAGAATGGATTGCTGAATTAGGTTTTATACCCAGTCTTTGAACTAAGCAGTGCAGTTTTCAGCTGGTGGCATATACTAAGGTTTTATTCTTCTCCTTGAGCAGAGAAGCAACAAGTATAAGGCTCCTATACACACAGGAAGATCTGAACTTGTATTTAAGTCTGTATTGTGGGGACTTCTACATACGGAGCATCCATGACATGGGAAAGCTTTTCCAGTATTTTGATTTAAATTTGTAAAGCATTACTCTTAATCTGCATTTGATTTCCAGTAATTTCATGGGTTAATAGAAAAATAAAGTATGTGAATGTGGTCAAAACACCTGAAGTACATGCCTAACTGACTGTGTTTTTCCTTTGCAGGATGTTGTCTGGGGGTTAAACTCGTTATTTACTGTAAGTAAATTACTATTTTGCATATCCAGTTTCCTCTTCCCTGTCTGGTCTGGTTTCAGCATCACCTAATATGAACCCCATCTATTGCCTCTGAAACTGAAGGTCGTTATTTCCTTCAGCTTCAGTGGGTGTTGTACAAGTACGAAATCAGTTTGTGCTTTTGTTTGTGTAGCTTCAGGACTCCTACAGATCATCTGAAATGCTAGGTTTTTTCATACATCATTTTTACTTTTGGTAACAAATCTATTATGGGATATTTTGGTGTCATTGGATCTTCCACATAGTATGAAATTCCTCCACTGCTTTTCAGGAAACTGAAAATCATGTTGCTCTGAGAAGGAATTGTGTTGGCGTTATGGGGTTTTTTTAAATGATACTTAGGAACTAATGACTGTCCTGCAGTCTCATTCCTATTTTGAACACTTATGTTCTTCGTTAAAGGCCGCAGGACCCACCTGCAGAATTTGCAGAAACCCCAACTTGTCACAGACATGATATGATTATGTTCAGGGATCCCGTTTTCCCCCGTTTCCTTAAATTGACATGAGCAAGATACCTGTGCCTTTAATTACAGAAGCAACTTGAAAATGGAAGAGACAGCAGGAAGCTGCAAGAAGCAGGCAGGATACAATGATTGCTTTTGCCCTAAAAGTGGAGAGAGGCTAAGTCTTTACTGTACAAAAGCTGCTTTTTAGGGAGTCCAGGGTTATGGTCCCCTTCCACAGCCATTGCTGCTGGGTAGGAAGGTCAGGAAGAACCAAAGAAGGGCACTAACTTGGTTGCTGCTCCAGTGTGTACAGAGGAGGCTGTGAAAAGCTTTGGATGAGGAGCATCACTGTGGGCTTCACTAGCCCCAACCTGGTTGTGGAGAAGGGAATTCTTTCCACCATTCCCTGCAGGAGGAGGGGTGCAGAGCCATGGCTGTGCTCCCAGCATACTCTCCAGGATCATGATGCGTTTCTAAGACCTCTAGCACAGACCAAGCCAGTGGCTGGCTGCAGTCTCCTCGGCTTTCTTGGCATCCAAAGGCTTGATTTGTTTTGACAACTTCTTTGGGAAATTGATTTAGAGGATTGGAGAGCATTTACCTTTTCAACAAAGAGTAATTGCGTTTCACAGTCTCTCACTGCATGCTGATTAGCTGGAAGAAAGCAAAATCCACTGGAGGTACAGAGGAGTGTCTGCAGAGGCAAAACTGTATGTAAGAATAATCCACTGGGCAAACAGCTGCAGGGTCTGATGGTCACACATCCCAGCCCACAGAGATTTGTCATGGGCTGTAAGAGCCGTGCTACCCAGCTTGCCTCTTGATTTCCCTCACACCCAGCTTCTGCTAAACAAGTAGGCTTTGAAAAGCTGGCACTGGATTGTACTGGCCTCACAGATTCTTTTGGGGTTTTCTTGAAGAAAGCGAGTGAAAATGCAGTGGATCACTGTCCTGCTTTGAGTGAAATGGGAGGTTTGCTACTTGAAAACAAGTCGGAGAGTGACGCACACTTTTCACACATGTGAAACAATGGCATTTCACTGTCACTAGCCTTCAACTGGGGAAAATTATCTGGACTGCAGGCAGAATAGGGCAGGTTGTGATTCAATGTTACTCGTAATGTACTAGATGATCTTTAAGGTCCCTTCCAACCCAAACCATTCTGTGACTTTGTGATATTCCCCTTCTGTCAGCGTCTCCATTGTTATCAACCCTATACTCTTTCTCTGTCCAAAGCTGTAGAGATTAAATGGGTAGACCTGAGATTCATCTTGACTGTTGCTGCTCCCTGCCCCCACATGCCCTTAGTTCTTTAGATATTTGCACTCCCTTTCCCCTGGGCCCTGTTTTTTCCATGGCACTAGATCTTTCCTGTCTGTCAGACTCCAGGTTACGTAGTTTCTTCTCGGGGTGGACGAAATTGCTTTGCTATGGAAATGGCATTAAGAAAAAAGTTGCTCACGATGAGGGTGGTGAGGTGCTGGCACAGGGTGCCCAGAGAAGCTGTGGCTGCCCCATCCCTGGCAGTGTTCAAGGCCGCGTTGGACACAGGGGCTTGAAGCAACCTGCTCTAGTGGAAGGTGTCCCTGCCCATGACAGGGGGTTGGAACTGGATGAGCTTTAAGGTACCTTCCAACCCAAACCAGTCCATGATTCTATGAAACTCTTCCTGCTTCATCACCATGCTGTTTGCAGGGTTTACCTTACCTTGAACTGAAGTCAACAGTAATTATGCCTCCTGAAACTGAATGTTCCTTCAAAATTTGATTTAAAACTGTCTCGGTTTTCAAGTAGAAATGCATCACTGCCAGAGAAGTGTCACGGGACTGTGTGCCACCAGATGGGGTCGAATGCCTTGCTGCTGTTGTCTGTTCATTGTCTTGTAATTTGGTTTGCAATCATCACTCATTTGCATTTACCTTTGATAGCGCTACCTATCAAGGTAGTGAGAAAATACTGTGCTCTATTCACTGGTCTTGATTAGTTTCATTATCTTGTTCATTAGGGCTTTGGATTCCTTGCATGATGCAGTGAGTGGGAACCCTATAATGTTCTCTGTTCCTTTACCAGGATCTTCTGAATTTTGACGATCCTTTGAATATCGAGGCTGCAGAGCATCACTTGCGTGACAAGGTGAGTCAGTGGTTTATTTAAAGCATGTTGTTCCTAATCCAGTACACATACATGATTCCCAGTCAGTCCTTTTAAAGCATTAGAACTGGTACTTCAGGCAGTTGAGTGACTCACTGTATCTGCCACCAGTTAGTCAAACAAAATGTGCTTTCTCTGGGAAAGTAAATTCAATGCAGTAGTGTTATTCACCATATGCAGGACTAGTTGACCATAACGTAGTCATATCCCCAAAATAGATGATCTTTTCCTCCTTGTTTCTGAGATCTTCCCCAAAGTTATACGTGTTCTGTGCAGCAAATGGTACTGAATTGGTTTGGTGCAGTTACATGAGTGGCCTTTACCTTTTAAGGTCTGCAAAAAGATCTCATCCTCTTTCAAATGTAACTTTCTTTCTTCACAGCTTCTGCATGTTGCATGTTTTTATTAAGCCAGGGCACATTTAAACAACAAGAGTGAGAACTTTATTTTCTTTTCACTGATCTTCTTTGTTCTGTGTGTATTATGGCAAAGCAAAACACGGTGTTGGTTAGTGGCCTGATGAACATCTGTGAGATGTACCTCTCAGCTGAGACTGAGCATGGAGGTAGAGGTGAACAACAGTCCTGACTTCTCCACTCTATGGATCTCTGAAGCTGTGTCATGTTACATTATATAGATGCACACCTCAAGCACATAAAAGTTACACTTGGTATATTCAGGATCTCTTATTTTATCCAAATGCTTTTGATACTTCTGTTGAAGTTAACCTTAAAGATTGAAGAAAGCATTCAGGTAACTGCTGATTTGAGGAGTTCATTGTGAGTTGGGCAGTGCACCTAATTTATCTCATTTTTTCCAAGAGGAATTACCAGGATTGCAAGTTCACCTTTTCAACTGTTTTTTGTTTAATGTGTTCTTGTAGCTATTCTGGTAATTTATCAGCATTTGCAGAGCTGGGATGAGACCATAGACCCAAGTGGGGAAAACTCTTCCTCTGGAAGAGGAGGGTTTTTATGGTTTTGTTACATCATTTTGGCAAACAGTGTCAGGAAGCCTTCCAAGCCATGAAACACTGAAAATAGTCACAGAGGGAATACAGCCCGAGAAACAAAACCAGCATAGTGAAGGTAGCAGGCTGAATAACTTTGTTGGCATTGATTGTTAGACTGATTTATTCTCTAATACCCTGCCAAGGGAACTGGGGAATGGCAAGGCTACACCCCTATTGCTGAGTGTCAAATTTGGCACTTGATTTCTTCTAACTGCTGGAAGGAAAGCAGTTTGTCTAGTGTCTGGGGAAGATTTTGGTAAGAAAAGATGCTCCCATGTACTAGTTCAGTCCTGCGTCAGATGTGTTGATGTGACAGACAAGCCTTGCCAGTGCTTTGTTAGACCTCAGACCAGCATGACAGTGATGTGCTCTTCCCAGAGAGTGATAAAATGTGAAGAACTTGCTATTCTGCATGTGTCAGCCTCATTCAGAAATGGGAAACCTAGGAAATCCAGGAAATCCGCAGGAAGGATGTTAACTGCTTTTATAAACACACCTCCCTCAAAAATGGAGCGATGAGCGCTCAAAACACCTACTGCTACACTAATAGCATGGGAGTTTGGGGTTGGTGAAGAAGTGAAAGGGAAATTGAGTAGGTTTTTTGACAGTCTTCTAAATTAAAAATAGCTTTGGAACATACATGTTTTATTTAGTAAACTCTTAAGTAATCTCACAGGCACTTGTAAAATTCATATTCAGCTGTGTTACCTTTTTTTAGAGCATATCTGAATTCAGTTCAGGTATTTAATTGATAGTGACAGACCAGGTAGTGCTGCATTTCCATAGTCTATATTACAGCAACATTAAGACAAAACTAATGATGCCTGTCTGAAGAGAATAAATGGTGTAGGAGAGAGAACTGGCTGCTTTTACAATTGCCTTCAAAGGATGCAGTTGCAGCTTGAGTTAGTTTTTGTCTCTCTTACGTATAGATATCATGTAGCACATAAGCACATTGTTGTGAAGCCAAACTGCTTTGGTCCTGTCTTAAGGAAATACTTGAAATATGATGAATATGGGAATGCTGATTTTTCCCTGAGACATTTTTACATGAATAATACAAGTAGTGTATATGTAATATGTATGCCCACGTGCACAACCTGTATACAAACACACGTGTAAATGTATCTCTATACTGATAGTTTTGTACACAAACTGACAAATACTATAAGAGAACATCTTTGGTCATTTGACAGCATGGGAGTATATGACTTGCAACAGCCAAAACAAAGGTACCTCACGCTGCCTTCTAGGGTTCTGGAGGAGATGAGTCAGGATTTCACTGATGTCAGTTCAGATTTGAAATCCTGGGATCCCTCTGCTGACATTCCAGGCTAAGTGTGGCAGCCTGAGCTCATCTGAAGCCTCCCTCTGGTTATTGAAAAAGCGAGACAGGAGTTTGTTCAGTCCCATAGGCTGGTATTAAGTCATCAAAAATGACTGCTGCCTTGCAGATGCTGGAAGAAGTCACATCATAGATATCAAATCTCTCTTACTGGTTCTTGGAAAGTATCTGTGCTATGAATGTTTGTGTTACAGATCAGGCTAGAAGGGATGTTTGTGATCTTTTCCTGCATAAGGGACCTCTTCATTTTTGCATCAAATGTATAGTTTATACCTGACCACATATTTGTATCTTTTGAGAAAACAGCCTTGTTCTAAGATGTCAAATTAACGCAAAATTCAGAACTCAAGTTGTTCAGTTAATTGCTTTAAAAAACCCTGTGTCTTATCTAAGTTAGTGCAGCTTCAACTTCCAACCCTCAGGGCCTCCTTCAGTCAGTTACTGAACTTCATTGCTTCCAGCTTCCTTCAGCCAGTGACCATCAACTCACTTCTACATTAATTATTTTTTAAAGGACATACGTTAAGGCAGCTTTAAAGTATATGTTGTTAAGGCAGCATTAGTAACTCTGCAGTTCTTTCCAGACACGTTGCAACGTGTCAGTATCTTTTTGTTCCTGACCATGTGTACGACAGATTTGGGCAGAGTCATCAACATTCATTTTCACAAGTGCTAGACAAAGAGATTAGCTCAATATTCAGACTTGCTAGCCTGCTACTTATGTACCCCCAAACTACCTTATCAGCTACTGAAGTGATCTAGAGATGTGTTGTAATTTGTTATTTTCATCAAAAGACCTTCCCAGTGACAGAGGATGCTTTTCAGAGATAGGACCCCTGTATTTGTCTGCATTCAATGTTCAGGTGATTTCCTCGGCATTGTCATTAGTTTTGTAAGGTTTTAAGTTTATCTTATGATTGTCATCATTGTTGGATGCTCCAAAGCTTAGTTACCCACATGGAAGTTTTTTCATATACAGTCACACATCCCCCGTTTCAGCTTATGAGCTCAATCTTACGTTCTTCTGTCACACACCTTAAGAAGGCTCTGTCCTCTTGGTAGCCACCTCATCGGGGCTGCTTTTAGGTTCCTCCAAAGCCTTCTCCTCTCCACTAACAAGCCCTGTTGCCTCAGCCTCTCCTCAGCCCAGCATCTTGGACTGTCCCCATGCAGAGTCTGAGTGTGTCCCAGCAGCAGGGACACTCAGCCTTGCGGGGCTTCCTGAGGCTGGTGCTGGCCTTTCCTCCAGCCCACACAGGTCCCTCTGGAGGGTGGATTTGCCCTCCAGCATGTTGACTGCATCCTCTTTAGTGACTGTATTTCTGTAAATACGGTGCTCATTTCCACACTCAACCAGTTTAAACTGAAACCTGATTGCAAGCTTGTTGACTGTGGCTTTTAGGACTTAGTAAAGCACTTGGATAAAATTGTAGTTTCCCTTCACTTTTTCTTTGTTTTCCTTAATTTCGCTCATAATTGTTGTTTCCAGCTTAGGGAAAGTTTGCATTGCTCATTTTTGTAGTGTTACTTTTAGGAACATTCCTGGTGCCCACACTGCACTGCAGTTAGGTCTCAATCACTGGTAGATAAGCAACCATCCTTTCTTGGTTTAAAGCTCCATAAATCAGAGTAAAAAGATGACTGATGTCTCTATACTAAGCGAAGTGTTTCCCAGCATTGGGTTGTCTCACACTGAGACAATCTCATCAGTTTGGTAGTGTGAGTTTTCTTGCTGAATTTAGAGCTGCTGACTAGTTAGTCAGTTGGGAACACTTTGGATTTAGTGAAGCGGCCAGCCTGTCAGTAATTATGTGGATGACAAGAGCTGTTAATTGCCAGTTGAATCAATTCCACTGATTCCTAAGCAATGAGCAAGTTTTTAAGTTTTAATGACTACTCACTTAAAAATGACATGCTAAACATCATAGGATTTGCTGGTTTGTACAGGGAACAAATAGAGCTCTGTTGATTCACTTTTCTGTGGCAGCCAGGCAGGCTGAATACCGAAAGAATAGGGTTGTAACTTGGTAAAACAAAACCAAATCAACTTAGTAGCTCAGGACTTGTGTACTCCTTAGACAGAGGTGCTGTAGGAGCTTTGTCTGCTGTTCGTTAGCTTAAATCTGGAAAATACTTTCCATACATAACATCTGTCATGGTTGTTTTGAGATACTACCTCAGGACATTGCAATTTGCTGGGTTCCTTGAAAGCTCTTCTGTTTCCTTGTAGTGTTTGCCTTTGCCAAAAACCATTTATTTCAAAGCCATATGTCCAGCACACAACAGGAAAATTCATTACACTGTTTATGTAGCTTAAAGTAGAAATGTTTTTCCAAGTATTTCTTAGCTTTCCTCCTTTCCTATGCCTGCCACGTCAGCAATGCTAATGCTGTGTCCAGTGGTAATCATATTTGCATTCTAATTGTATTTGTGCAATTTAGAAGGCTAAATCAATTTTTGTCATCCTGCAGATTAGCAAACACTTATTTACTTGTTCATCCATGCAGTCTTGAGTTGTTTCCATAGGCAGAGCTGAGTAACATCACCCTGTGTTTATTTTACTGCATGATCTTTCCATCTTCTCAGTGAAACTTGTCTGTCAGTATTCAGTGCATGGAAACACTT